AATTGTATAAAGGTTTTTTGTTATGAAATCAAAATAAATCTGAAAGAAGAGATTGAAGTAATGAGGAAAAAAGTAAAAAATTAAAATTCAATGAAGCTATAAAATGACAGTCAGACAGAGACATAGACGAACGATTATCAGACTAACGACATCAAAAACAACAACAATGAAAGCATGACCATATGTCAACTCCTCTTCAAACTGCACTTCTGAAGCACGTGACAACTCCACCTACGCACCTAACCACTTAGCCAGCAGAATTGGTTACAATGTTTCATATTAGAGTACGGTTTTAAAATTTGTATACATATGTCTACCTTATGTATGTAACATATATATATATATATATGTAATTATGTAAGAAAATACGATATTAGTAACCAGACATAACTGTTTTAATTGTTAACATGACAGGCTTATTGTCAGTTGCAATGTGACTTTTTTAAGACTAATTATGTTGACACATAAACAGCGAGTGGAGTTGGAAGAGGAAAGCATAAAACTTGATGGTTATTACACGATCGATCAATCGACATATACATAAAAGGATGTGATTACTCAGGTTTTAATGTCGAAAATATTTTTTATAATGTTAAAACATTCATGTTCTTATCTTGTTTGTATTAGATTTCACAGTCCATAATATTCTTGAAATACTATAGTTTTTTAGTTATTATTTATATCTAGTTTATTACAGTTATTATTCTTATATCTACTGTGTTGTTGTAATTTTATATAAAATTTGGTGCCTGTGTCTAACACTGAAACAGAAATCACCTGAATCAGCAATTCCACTTAATGCATATAACTTTTGCGGTATATACAAATTTCCAAAATCACGGGAATAGTGATGGCATTTCCAAACCAACTAATTCAGACTGAAATAAGTTCTTGTTAAGTCTATCCCCTTTGCAAAGGGGGAAATAAGATACTTAAGTCTTATTTAAAAACGGTTACTTAATATTAGTCAGACTTTCATACCTTTTAGATCTGTTCTTTGTTAGTTTTAATGGAAGTAGTTGTTAAGCCTTCTACATCAAATACTTTTAGTGCTCCCTTAAATTGGTCGTTCCACCTGAGACACGTTCTACCTCTACACATTCATTCTAAAACTACCACTTCATGACGCTGGATGAATCGTCATCCATTCTAACGACTTAACCAAACGATCAAAACCGCTGTTAATTCCCTGAACTATATAAATGTCGTGATAAAGCTCGTACAGCAAGTGATTCATTCAGATACGGTAGTTATCGCCAACTTGTAGAGGACCAAAGATCTTACGAAGAATTTTTTTCTTGAAAATTTCTACTGCTGCTTCAGTAAGAAAAAGTAAGATTATGAGCAATGAATATGATGTTCCACATTCTTCTTCCATTTAATTAGAAGCCAAGAAGCATTATTACAAATAAATAAGACTATATGTATATGTTGTTATAAGAATCAATAAGGATGGAAATGCTTTTAGTTAATTTAAAAAAAATATAAAACTGTAGCAATATATCAAACTCAATATATCAAGCTTAAATTATTCTATACCAAAAAAAGCAGTTATATTTCATAGAAGTGAAACTTGGAATAGTAGTACCGCAATCCAATACCAAATTTCGAGTTTCGTAAGCCAATTATGTACATTAAAATACATAGAATCAATAAAATACTTAAAAGCCAATAAAACAGATAAAAGCGGAGCAAAGGAATATTTTATATTTAGAAGGAATAAGGCATTAGGTGCTTTTATTCAATTTATAAATACAGCAGTGATATATTAAAATCTATAAAATTACGCCTTTTCTGTATCAAAGGAAAAACAGTAATATTTCACAAAAATGAGACATGGAATAGCACCAATGTAATCCAATTCAAACTTCAGACCGTTATAAGGCAATGTAACAAAAAATCTGTTAGGTGATCACACAATATATCCAATATCGATATGTGGGGTCATAAGAATACACAAGAGCAAAGTTTTAGATCACCCGATACGACAGCCTTGTCTTGGAAAAGAACAGTGGAACACAAGGGCGCAAATTACTCGTGGAATGACATTGTTATATTTTCCAATAATAAACTTCGATTTGAATTGATAATAGCCTCTATTAAGGGCGTAAACATCACATGCATATAAGTGGTTGAAATAAATAAACTAAGAAAGACCAGTACGGGGTTACCTAAATATCGATGATAATAAAGAAAAAAAAAGATAATAAAAAGCTTTTGAAAGGTTTAAACTAATTAGAAAACAACTGTTAATTTGATGTAGTAGATCTAAATTCAGTATCTTATTACATCAGTCAATCTGAGAAACAAATCTAGAAAAGCAATCGTTTAATGTCTCATAGAGCTGTTATAATCGTTGGGTTAGTGTTCTTTTCCTATCTTTTTAAAATTTTCATTGCCAAGTATTTTGTGAATTTTTTTTTAATAATAAATATTTTTGCTACTGTTATTCTTTAGCAGGTATCTTAAGTACACAAAACATAATAAACACTAATTTATAGTTTCAAACTATTTGCAGAGATAATCTTTCCCACTAAATCTCTGCAATAGATTCGATTTTATTATTATATGAAATTATTTTTAAATGGAAAAGATAAAATGAAATATTGGCTAGAAGTCATGCAAATAAATTTAGTTAATAAACTAGTTTTAGCTAAATTTTCCTGTCTTTGCTGTCCGCACTACTTTTCACTCTTCCAACTCTTTCCATATGTTTCTTCCATGAATTAATAATTTTTTTTAGAAATAGTAAATTGCCGGAAGTGATTATACAAAAAGTTGTTGTAATTTATCTATCATTATCGATTGTTACCATCGATATTTAATTAATCACAGCTGTCATTGTTAATAACTTGTAATAATTCCACTAAATCAAGTTTTTGTTTTTGTTTACAATGAATGGGTAAAGCCACAACAAATAGTAGTTTAACCGATATAGTGTGCAAATCTTATATTTTTGGAGTGAAAAACTTGAAGAAAGCAAAACAAAATGGGATAAAAGTGTTTTATCTACTTAGCTTAATATTGAAAAAAAACTAAATTCTTGATTGAAATTAAAGATTTCTTTAGTACGAATCTTTTTATCACTGTGGATTTTCTTCTTAGTTGATATGGTTATTGATTTTTAAGCAATTTAATGGTTTTATTTTATAAAATGGAGAATATAGGGTTCCGATTTATAGGGATATTTTCAGTCATTGCAAGGGAGACGAGCTGGCTAACCGGAATATACGCAAATTTGCACATATTGTATTCTGAACTCCCCATAACAGATGGGGAAAACTTAACAAAATGTAGGCATCTATGTTATATGCAAGTTGATGGCGTTCTTTAAAGAAAAAATCCTATACACCCATTGAGATAATGGTTCTCTCGTAGCTTTGCTAATAGGTCACACCCAATTAGGTAATCATGCTAGAAAATTATATCTTCCTTTTAATCATTCATTTCACAATTGTGAAGAAGATACTTAAAGTACCTCACATTACTTTGTTGCTGCCCGACGCCTGCTCGGCGCCGATTATATTTTTTAGCAGCCATCTTTTTTCAGGTAACTGCCTATTAGAGTTTCCTCGAAAGGACCGAATAAATCTATTCATATATTTATTCTATTTATAGGTTGTTCTGATCATCAGAGTGTTGTTCTTGCGGGGGAAATTGATTCCCCCTTTTAATAACTTCTGTTGTAGTTGTAAAGAGAGCAATAAAGGTGTCTCATTTTTGCTTTGCTATAGCCTAGTGTATGCACGACTCCAAATAGTAACTATTTTAGGGGCGTCCATTCAAGGACCTTTTTCTAAAAAACATTTTAAGTAATTCCAAAGGTTCAACGTGTTCTCTGAGTTGCTTAAATGATAACACAATAGGACTAAATGGATTCTTAGGATCGCAGGTAGAACCTACTTTAACCTAATTTTATTAACTTTGTTTCTCATTTAAAATCAAACTGTTTTTCTTGAAAGGTTTGGAAGGTTAATTAATTGAATTTTTGGTAAACCACACAGATGTATTGAGGTGATGGTAAACTACCCATCATTAGTAGTCTTTTTAAAAATATTCCAAATTTCTTTTTTATTTATCTTCTAATTTAGAATATATAAAGGAACTATTTCCGCTTCAGCTAAAATACTATAAATGTCAAATTCCAAAGCTTCATGTCCTACCTAGGAGGAAGGAATCACAAACATATATGATGCTGAAGATTATGAACTATGAATAGGGATGAATTGAGACAAGAGCTCCATTCCATAAAGGCCTGTATAAGATTGACTCTATAACGATGATTATAAGATGACGAAAAGAAGATTATAAAGGTCTTTTTGCTAGATTTAAACTGTATGACTATTAAACGCTTGCGCCATTATACAAAATCCACACATATAAATAATTTTAAAAATATTGTTTCAATCTTAAGGGGAAAAAAATTGATTTACATTCGAATACAGAAAGGTTAGTCGATTACTTATAACCAAATTATCTTAAGCAACAAAGTTTCTTAGTAAAACCACAAAATCTTGACGCGTCTTGGCGGCGCGTCGTATTATAACGCGTCAGTGTTTTTACTAAGCTAGTCGAGGCAACTGTTCTCATTATAATTGCTACAGCAACTGTTGTTGTTGTTGTTGTTGTTATTGTCGTTGTTGCAGCAACATAAAAGATTTTTTTAACTAATAAATCCGACGAAGTAACCCATACGTTATAATATTGTTCGAATTTTATTATTATTCTTATTTTTGTTGTTGTTGCTGCTGTTGTTGTTGTTTTTATAATTGACTACTCTGAAGTTATAATTTCTTACAGTAGTCCATCTATCTTATTTCTCATTAGTGTAGATAAATTTGTTACTTCAACTAAGCGTTTATTACACAAATTCGTCCTATTTGATTCAACGATTAATGTTGGTACGTGACAAAAACTATTGTCAGCATGTAAGTAAGTATGTATTTTATTTCTGTTCTTATTTTTATTGCATTAACCGAAGTAGAACTTAGCACACTTACCTCCCAATGGCTAAATATTAGCTGTGGACATGCCAAACCAGATGTCTGCTTGCGTATCTCCTGAGCAAAGTTGAACGATTCGATAACAGGTAGTATGGCCATCACTGAAAAATTTCCACTTCCTTGGGTTAAGTCGCCAGATAGAATTTTGCCATGTCTGCGTCCAATGACGGCATACATTTTTCCTGTGAAAAAAGTAACACATAAAATATGTAATTATGTTGGTAAAGAGACAGGATTTAATACGTAATAATTTATTAGAGACTGATAGAATATTATACAAAGTATGTACAGAGAGTACAGTGAAAGGATACGTACATCTTATCTTATCTTATCTGATTTAATTTAAATCCAACCAACCAAACAAAAAACAAAACAATATTAAAAAATTCATACAACGCAAATACTCATATCTGAAATGAATTCAAGTATTTTAAATACCCGCAACAATATTTATAGAAGAAACTGGAAACCATACATAACTTAACAGAAATATATGCTCCAAAGAAAACAAACAATTTTTATGGTTATAAGATATTTTGGCGCGAAACTCAACGTCATTGTAAATATTTACGATTTTGTATAAGAGGCAGCGAGTGGCTCAACGCAAAGATGAAAGCCTGCCACTTCAAGCAATGCAAACCCAAGCAAACCCAAGCAAACCCAAGTAAACCCAAGCAAGGCAGAGCATATTAATTTATTTATTTCGCTTTGCTTTATTTTTGGCATGCGCGCAAATATGCAGATTTAACAGATAAAATATAGTACAGATACGCGCACTTGCCCGGCTACAGAAATAACAGCAATTATAAGACAAATAAACACGTACGACTACGAGTACGAGTACGGGTACTAGTAAGAATACGAGTACGGCTAGGATAAAAAGTTCGCTTGAAATAAAATGACGGATGGAGCATGCCCGACATAAGACCAGCGCGCACAACAACAAACAATGCGGGAAAAAAAGGTTCAAACACTATAAGATGTAAGAGTACGTATGGAGGCAACAGGTAAATTAACGTTTAAGCCAAATAGGAACGACATGGTTAAAAACAAAAACGTATGCCAAACAGCAGAGCAACAAAAACTGAAAAAAAAACAAGTAAACACGACAACAGGAATTAGTTTCCGGTCGTAGTAAAAATGACAAAACTCAAAGGGCAAAAAATTAAAATGAAAGAAAAAAATCAGAAAAAAACCGGGTAAACCAAGTAAACCAATGGCCAAGCAAAAATATACAAAACCAGCTAGGAAAAGAAGTTGAAACAACAACAGCAACAACGCCAGCAACAGCACCAACAACGCCAACAACAACAACACAGTAGACCAAAGGAAATGCTTAACAACAAATGAATATGAGTGGACAGACATATGGACGGACGGACACTTTAAAGCACGAGTTCAGCACTAGCTCAAACAACAACAAACTTAACAGCCAGCAACTGCAAAACAAAACACAGCACAACACAGCGCAAGAAAAAAATATACAAAATCTGTGGAGAACGGTCAATGATGAAAAAAATATCTGTAAGATTCTGCTTAAAATTATGTTCCAACAAAGACACTACGACAACAACAATCCAAAGAAATTGAGGAAGAAGACTGACCATTAGTAACTGAAAATTTAAAACGCACATACGCTTATATATTGGACATGAGATATATGTAAGCACACAGTGGGTAACGGTGGTAAAGAAACTGCTTAAAAATAAAAAGGTATGAACGCTTGGAGATTAGATTTATTTATACAGGGTGATTAGATGGGTGCTGCATATTTAAACGTTAGTGGGCAGTTTTTTTTACAGATTTCCAACAAAAATAACTTTTATGGAAATGGAAATGTCTAACTGACCTTATAACAGCTGAGACTGAGCGAGTGATGGACACACATGAAATGCACAGGATGATTTCATTGAATCATAAACATCTTCGAAATGATATAACTTTACAGCTTCTGCAGCTGAAGTATATACAATAGCAGGCATTATCATTTATTTCCAGTGCACTAAAATCTGTTAGAATATTATTTTGAATTTTTGTACCAGTGAAATTAGTCGTCCTTCTTTTTGCTATTTTCGTGGAACTTCCAGCCATAGTTTGTGTTAAAAGTTGCCACATCGTGAATACCAAAATTATTTTCTTGCTTAAATTTTTTTTTTATTAGTTCGATAAAATTCAACCCCGATTTAAAGAAGACTCAGAAAATCTGTAGTGCAGTTAAAACCAAAACTAAAGAAAATACTGTGAGTTTAAAAACGCCAAAACAAATATTTTTCTTTTTTTTTCTATGGTATTTTTAAAAATATTAATATATTTTATAAAAAGGTTTTTCGAACAGTAGTGAGCTACAGCAACAAAAATTCATTTTATATTATTTTATTTATTTGTTTTTTCGAGTATTGCCAAATACCCATCATCAGTGGTCTTGGAAATAGTTCTTATATATAGTAACTCATAAATAATTTTTTTAGACTGCAAGTACCAGGCACCGTAATCGTGTCCTGCAAAATTTGAAGCTCAGAGTCAGCGCACCTTAACCAACCGACCCAAAGCCGTACTTAACTTTTATGTTCGCACATTTTTCTGAAGTTTTGCTACTTTGCTGTGGAAGTTTTATAACATATTTTTTTATATATTTTTATTATATATTATTTTATTATATTTATATATATTTTTTTTAATATATTTTGTATTAATTTTGTTATCAAAGCTGTAATATTTAATATACTATAACGTTGGAAAAGAAATTTTAAACAATATCCTACATTGTGACTTTTTTTACATTTTTTTAAGAGACTTTACCAACAGACTTGTTCTTTTTTAGCCACACTTCGAAAGAATCAAATACACTTTTTATTACAGTACGTGAACTGTTAACAGTTTCTAAAAATTCATTGCGCTGTTATTGCAGTTGCCCACTGTGTCTACACTTTACGCGCAATAACTTTAATAAAAACAAAAACAAGCCAACAGCAGTAACATTTGTTGTATTTTTACTCTTAACAGAACTAATGAAGCACAAAGAAGGTACAGCAACAACACTGCAAAACATCTTAAGAATCAATGCACTAAGCCAACTAAAGCAGCGTACACAAGCGCAAACATTTTCACACTAATACACACCACTACTATAATGAAGGGACGCTGCTGCGGTCGCTGCTGTTATTATGCGATTCAAAAACAAATTGTGATGCTGTGCTGCTACGGAACAGCAACGGCTTCCAACAAAATAGCCAAGCAGCCAAACAGCCAAACAGTTTCATTCATTCATAACAACGCAAACGAATCACAACGCGCTGTAAATGTATTTGTATAAAATATAGGCAACGCAACTACACAAAAACACAAAACACTTGTGTAAGCCTGCATTGCTCGGGTTGTATGTACAACGTGCAACTGTAACGTTCAACATGAAGCAGCAACTTGCTGCCTTCACTTGGCATCGCTGTATGTATGTATGTATGTGAATACGTGTTTTTGCTTTCTTGAGTGTTGGTTTTCATTCAAACAATTCCGGCGCACAATGCTCATAAATTTGTTTTCTATACGAAAAATTGCTGCGCGCACAGGCAGTTACGATAAACAACGACGACGGCAGCGAATACGAGTACGAGTACGACTACACGGCTACGAAGCAAGCAACGACTACACCAACAACAACAAAGACTACGACGTCGGCAACATAGATACGAGCCAACAGCAAACGAACGAATGAAATTTGTTGTGTTGTGTGTTGTAAATTCAGTGCGATTCAGTTTATTTGATCAGTTCGAAAAGTGAAGTTGAAGTTGGAGAAACGAAAAATTTATTGTTGCCTGAAAGAATTTATGAAATATTGAAGTTTTTTAAAATTTTTATAAAAATATTTGAATAAATTGTTTTCGCTTACGTAGTTGTGCAGCGTGATTAATGTATGAATTTTACAAGGAATTTTATAAATTTCGAAGAAAAAGTTTTAATTGAAATTTAGTTCGGTGGTTAAGGTGAAGAAGGATTGGATTTTAACTGTAACGGAAAGTCAAAACAATAATAAAATTTAAAAAAGTTTTCTTTAAAAAAATCAAAAAGAATGAAGTGAAACGTACACATTTTTTTATATATATTTTTTATGCATTCCACAATATAAAATCCATAAAATTATAAACACATTTTTTTTTGTTCGAAGTATAAGATGAAAAACAACTTTTTATTTTTGACCACGTTTAAGATTTTATGAATGAAATATAAGCCACGATCGCGACTCTTTACGAAAACAACTCAACTCTTTTTACACAAACTCAATAGCAACAACAACAACATAAATAACAACAACAACTTCTATTACAAGACATACGAGTATACGACAAGTTGGTAAATAGCTTCTTAAGAAAAAAAACTAAAACCGTATTTAGTTTCGTTTGATTGGATTTATGTTGTACTTAAAGTAAGATTTAAACGAATCAACTGGTAATGATTTAGAGAAAAATACAACAACAAAATGTTTGCTAAGATTTTATTAAGAGATTTTAAAAAACAGCGAAAAAATTCAAATGAAAACTTGAATGCATTGAGAAGAAAAATATAGACTAGATAAAAGATTGTATATATATCTATAACAAGACATAACATAACATCGATCGATTTAATGAACAAGCCAAATGAGTACTAAATATTAGACATTATACACATTCCCAAAACGTTATTTCTATATAAATTGGTAATTAAAGATTGAGAGCAAATCAATAAACAGATACAAAACCAATAGTAAAGTATCTATAACTTGCCACAAACTAAATGCAAATCAACTGTCAAAACTTTTTATATGACTACATATAAACGCACGTATACTTGTATGTATAAATAAATTAAATTATTTATTGTACAATTACTGCAATAAATCCAAAACAAAAATAAAAAAAAACATCTAAACAAAATAAAAATACGAGATAATGGAAAAATCAATTGCTCCATTAAGATAGAGTTGAACTATTTATAGTTGCAAAAAGTAGAAGTAGTAGAGATACAGTACTTGCGAGTAAAACTATTCAAAATAAATATAAGAAAAAAATTATTAAAAATAAAACCACAGCACTAAATCAATGCACTGAAGTATACTTTTTTTTAATGATAAAAAGAGTGACAATCAACTTTGTTTAAATTGATTTGTGCATTTGAAATTTTCATCAAACACAACAACAAAA